ATAACTAGGAAGGAGTGGTAGGTTACATGTTTACTAGTTGGTGACTTATGTTGATAACTAGGAAGGAGATAGAGGTTACATGTGTACCAGTTGATGACTTATGTTGATAACTAGGAAGGAGTTGTAGGTTACATGTTTACCAGTTGGTGACATATGTTGATAACTCGGAAGGAGTGGTAGGTTACATGTTTACTAGTTGGTGACTTATGTTGATAACTAGGAAGGAGATAGAGGTTACATGTGTACCAGTTGATGACTTATGTTGATAACTAGGAAGGAGTTGTAGGTTACATGTTTACCAGTTGGTGATTTATGTTGATAACAAGGAAGGAGTGGTAGGTTATATGTTTACTAGTTGGTGACATATGTTGATAACTCGGAAGGAGTGGTAGGTTACATGTTTACTAGTTGTTGATTTATGTTGATAACTCGGAAGGAGTGGTAGGTTACATGTTTACCAGTTGGTGATTTGAGTCTATACTTATCATGAGTTTTTTATATAGAATTAAACTTACAGTCTGATTTCAGATATGTTTATGTTTTGTTTAGTATATTTCGAGGAAACAGTCTGAGTGGTGCTCTACAGAAAGGAGCTTTTGTGGGCATGGAGAAAGCAGGAATGTTGTAAGTTCTTTTCATATAAACTAAAAGATAAAATAATTTTACTTGAACTTATATTTTGTCCAAATTGTTTTTTTATTATTAATATATATTCATAAATGCTTTTCAAGTTCAGTTTGCTTGCAAATAATTAAAGACATGAAGTAGAATTAATTTAACCCATTATTTTGTTTCTCTTTACACCTTTTATCTCATTTTAGGTATATCTTCTTTCAATCACTGCATAACTACAAAATAGCTAACTTAGTGATTCATTATAGTCACTACTAGTTAAATGTGTTCAACACACTAACTGTATGTCAAAACATTAAGAATCAGTTGATACAGTAGTGCTCTTCTAGGTTCTGAGTCACCTTATACAGTAGTGTTCACCTAGGTTCAGAGTCACTTTATACAGTAGTGTTCACCTAGGTTCAGAGTCACTTTATACAGTAGTGTTCACCTAGGTTCAGAATCAGTTCGTATTGTATTCTTCACGTAGGTTCAGAATCAGTTCGTATTGTGTTCTTCACGTAGGTTCAGAATCAGTTCCTACAGTGGTTTAACCTAGGTTCTGAATCAGTTCCTTCATTAGTGTTCACTTATGTTCAGAATCAGTTCCTTCATTAGTGTTCACTTATGTTCAGAATCAGTTCGTAAAGTAGTGTTCACCTAGTTTAGATAATTATCTAAGATATAAAAATCATTGCTATTATGTCTCTTTAGGCAATTGATAACAATACAACATTAATTGTTATTATGTCTCTTTAGGAAATTGTTAACAATACAACATTAATTGTTATTATGTCTGTTTAGTTAATTATTAACAATACAACATTAATTGTTATTATGTCTGTTTGGTTAATTATTAACAATACAACATTCATTATTATTATGTCTGCTAAATTAATTATTAACAATACAACATTAATTGCTATTGTGTCTGCTAAGTTAATTATTAACAATACAACATTAATTGTTATTATCTCTGCTAAGGTAATAATTAGCAATACAACATTAATTGCTATTATGTCTGCTAAGTTAATTATTAACAATACAACATCCGTTGCTATTATGTCTGCTAAATTAATTATTAACAATACAACATCCGTTGCTATTATGTATGTTTAGTTAATTATTAATAATATAACATTCATTGTTATTATGTCTGTTTAGTTAATTATTAACAATACAACATTCATTTACATTATGTGTGTTTAGTTAATTATTAACAATACAACATTCATTGTTATTATGTGTGTTTAGTTAATTATTAACAATACAACATTCAATGTTATTATGTGTGTTTAGTTAATTATTAACAATACAACATTAATTTACATTATGTGTGTTTAGTTAATTATTAACAATACAACATTCATTTACATTATGTGTGTTTAGTTAATTATTAACAATACAACATTCATTTACATTATGTGTGTTTAGTTAATTATTAACCATTTAACATTCATTGTCTTCAACTCACGATATTAAAATTTCTGAAATCGGTTAATTTGCGTTCTTAAATATTTTCAGAGATCTTGGAAGAAACAAAATAACGCATCTTACCCCGGGACTTTTCCAAAACTTGTGGCGTCTTAAAATACTGTACGTACTACTCAAGTGAAATGTTAACGATATATTTACGTTTTATGTGTGCTAATGGGTTTTACTTAAACCACCGTACGTACTAATTATTGACTCAAGTGAAATGTTAATGATATATTTACGTTTTATGTGTGCTAAAGGGTTTTACTTAAAATACTGTACGTACTAATTATTGACTCAAGTGAAATGTTAATGATATATTTACGTTTTATGTGTGCTAAAGAGTTTTACATAAGATACTGTACGTACTAATTATTGACTCAAGTGAAATGTTAATGGTATATTTACGTTTTATGTGTGCTAAAGGGTTTTACTTAAAATACTGTACGTACTAATTATTGACTCAAGTGAAATGTTAATGATATATTTACGTTTTATGTGAGCTAAAGAGTTTCACTTAAAACACTGTACGTACTAATTATTGACTCAAGTGAAATGTTAATGATATATTTACGTTTTATGTGTGCTAAAGGGTTTTACTTAAAATGCCCAGAGGAAAACGAAACTGGTAGGTATATCTTGTTTTGTACTTTGCTCTTAATGTGTAATATAGTTGGATATCTTCTATAGCTTAAAAGAGTGATGTTTCTAATCGTATTTGTATTTTCCACGGCACTGAAGAATTACAGTTAACTATAAAATTAAGTATAACCTCTGAAGTGTACTTTTATGTAATCAAGTTATTTTTAGGAACTCTTCAATTTAAATAGCTGGTGCTACAAATAACAAGATTTAGTTTGTTAAGAAACCAACGGTCCTCTGCTTGATGATCACCAGGCAACAAGAGACAGAGCGAGGAACGAATGCCATTAATCCGCCAGACTTTTTAAGCTCTTTTCACTTATAATTACCGTTTTTCACTTGTACAGGTATCTCGATGAGAATCTGTTGACGTCACTTTCTCTGAACACCTTCCTGGGATTAGGTCAACTCCGTTCCCTGTAAGTGAGTGTGTACTTAGCGAAATCTCTTTTAATTTCTGAAAAACAAGTGTAGAATAATCCAGTTTAAAATTCATACAGGAAGGTGTTAAAATACTTTGGTAAAATTCTTATGTAGTCATGTGACAACACATTCAGATTTTCGGGAGTTGAATGTTAAATAAATTATTTGTTATCATGTTTAGAAGCCATTTTATCCGATGATTTAAAAATACGGTTTATATTGACTAAATTATAAGATTAGTTCTGAAAGTAAGGGACTTATCTACTTTATTACAAAGAAAAATATTCACATCTTGGGAGTTAATTATCTCTACATTTCGGTGACTATACAGTTTATTTTAGTTTAATATGGTACAATAGGAATATATACACCGAAGTTTCGATGACTATACAGCATTGATCTTCATCTATGATAGCAGATTTGGTGATATTTACGGATTTCGTTTACAAAGCTATGAAACATTTTGAAATCTGCAGAATACTCCTGACCAGCTATGATTTTTGTTTGCCAATCAGTCCACGTAGTTACATAAAAGTGTACAGATTGTGGTAGTTCGAACATGAACTTACCAGTTATATAAAAGTGTACAGATTGTGGTAGTTCGAACATGAACTTACCAGTTATATAAAAGTGTACAGATTGTGGTAGTACGAACATGAACTTACCAGTTATATAGAAGTGTACAGATTGTGGTAGTATATATAACTGGTAAGTTCATGTTCGAACTACCACAATCTGTACACTTCTATATAACTGGTAAGTTCATGTTCGGAAGTGTACAGATTGTGGTGGTACGAACATGAACTTGCCAGTTATATAGAAGTGTATAGATTGTGCTAGTTCGAACATGAACTTACCAGTTATATAGAAGTGTACAGATTGTGGTAGTTCGAACATGAACTTACCAGTTATATAGAATTAGAGAAGGTTGTGTGACATTATTTGATGGCCCAACAAAAATTGTGAAGAATGCAGCGCTTGTTCCTAATTCTTAATCAACGTAACCATTGTAACCAGAATTAGGCTTTTTAGTTACACATGACAATCATGAAGTGTTAATGAAAAATTTTAAACCTTATACCAACGTCTGTAATTCTGGAAGCACAGAATAGATAACGGTGAATATACTTGTAATTATGTGTAATATTATTATTAGAGGTGGGCAGAGAAGAGAGAGCCCATTGTGTGGCTTAACAACAACCAAATATTATTATTATTTTATTGACAATGTTTTTCATTCTGGTTTTAATTTTTAATAATATAATATTTATCACGTGCTTTGGAGGTAATATGTTTGTTTGTTGTTAAGCACAAAGCGAACTATCTGTGTTGTGCTCACCATGGATATCGAAACCCGGTTTCTAACGTTATAAGCCTTCAGGTTTACCACAAAGGGCTGATATATTCTGTATTATTTACGTAAAATGGAGTATCAACCAATAGTAGAAGAGCATTTCCGTTAAATCATTACGTAAAGTGGAGTATCAGTCATGAGTAGAAGAGCATTTCCGTTAAATCATTACGTAAAATGGAGTATCAGCAATGAGTAGAAGAGCATTTCCGTTAAATCATTACGTAAAATGGAGTATCAGCAATGAGTAGAAGAGCATTTCCGTTAAATCATTACGTAAAATGGAGTATCAGCCATGAGTAGAAGAGCATTTCCGTTAAATCAACGAAGCTTGTCGTGATTCGTAATAGGTTAAACGATAACGTAGATTTGAGTTAGGTCTAAACATTATGTAAATATACATACATATGCGTTGTATCGAGTAAAGAAATGTCTTTAGTGGCCTAAAGTTGTCTGCAGGTTTTCCATAATTCGCAAAACGAGTGCAAGAATGTCCCTGAACTGCCATCTTAGATGACACAATCACAGAAACATCGGTATATTTGATTTAGAAATAAGTTTGTAATTTTCCACAGTTAATGAAGATGAGTTTAATAGCTATGAAACAACATAATGTTTAGTTTTTTATAGTTTTTCTAGTGGTTGGTTTAATATTCTGGTTCAATCCAGCCAAATAATAGATGTCACTGTTATTGACTTTACCATAAATACTATCTCATATGGAGAAAGTAAGAGACAAAACCATGAGAAATTTCTTTAATGAAACAGCATAGATTCTAGATTATCTTCTTTTTTCAGTAATTTGAAGCAAAACTTCATACAAGAAATTTACCCATCAGCTTTCAGTGGGTTGTTCTCCTTGAAAACTTTGTAAGTTTAATATTCTATTAAATATTTTGTAGGTTTAATATTCTGTTACATATTTTGTAGGTTTAATATTTTATTACATATTTTGTAGGTTTAATATTCTATTACATATTTTGTAGGTTTAAT